CCCTACATGGTTTGGCTTCTTTTCTAACAAATTCCTGCTTCTGCTCTTCCCATGGTCTGACCACACAAGCATTGTCAGAGTTCTGAACTATCTCATCTAATCTCATCTAACAGTTCAGAGTCGTGATGTGCTGGATCTCATTAATTTGTTTCATGAAGACATCTAAAATTGCTGAATCTTTTGAACTTGGAAGTTTTGGATATATAGCTCTTATTTGGTTTTAAATTTAAGTGCCTCATTTGAGTTCGAGTCCACCACCACCTCCTTCATCAGCATGCAAGAACTTTTGATATATCTGTGTTTGAATTATACAGGTTGACCCAAACACAGGAGTTGCCATGTATGAATCAGACGAAATCATCAAGTATCTGACCGAGAAATACGGTAGTTCTGCTGATCTCCTCGTCTGCTTCTCTTGTTGCTGATCCCTTTGTGACAATTGGCTGCGAATAGCAGTCTTTTAATTGTTTCATGTAGCGATATTTTAGAATAAAAATCCTAGGGGACAAGGTATAGAACCAGGAAGAATGTGTGAAACAGCCAGATTTAGAATCTATTCACTAACAGTTGGTTTTAAACATAGTTGTGACACTATATAACTTTCCTCAAATAGCCAGTTGTGGACAGCTTGTGACACTACTTTACCCGTCTTGTTTTATTCTGGTGCAAGAAAATTTTTAATTGTGGACAGCTTGTTGAAGCATCTGCTCTTATTTGTTAAATTTTGCAGGAGATGGAAATGTTCCTTTAAGTCTGTCACTTGGCCCCTTAACGGTTGTCTTTCTTTTTCTTTGCTGCTGATTATTTCCATGCTCCACGAGCCAAGGCTATAGATAGCTTTTTCATTTTAACTTCTCCAATATTACTTTGTTGCAGACTATAACAGCAGGCCTTTCAGCAATTGGTCGTATAGGAAAGGTGAGAAAGGTTTCATTTTTTTTCTTCAATTATACGGCATATTATCTCTAGAGTCAGTTGAAGAGTTTAATTGAGCTCTTTGGAGTATCAAATGAGTTGTAAGTATCATCGAACATATGGAAACTCTGATTCCTGATTAAAATGTTTATATTCATTGTATCTTATGAATTCTCTATTGATATTTCTTGTTCAATATTTGAGAAAGAAGCGGGATTTTCCTGTCATGTAAAAATCTTGTGTTCCATGCAGGGCAGCTCTTACGTTCCATCAAAGCTACCACCCAAGCCGCTTGAACTATGGGCATACGAGGTTTGTTCCGTTGGAAATATCAAAACCAAATCTTTAGCATAATAACTATGATACATAATATGATTTGATTTTCTCATAGCATGATATGCTTGCAGGGTTCCCCATTCTGCAAGCTTGTGCGTGAGGTACTTGTTGAACTGGAGTTACCTCACATTCAACGCAGGTATAGCAAAATTTTTACCCTTTTTAGGTTTTTACTGCATAGAACATCAATAAACTTAAGACCTCTGAACATATTTTGATATGGGTACTCCTCTTCAGCCACGGCACTTTGCATATGTACCATGCAGTATCATGGTGTAGAGACCGTTTATGGTATGTGAGCAAGGAAATGAGGCTTAATATCCGGTATTAGCCAACCTGCCGACGCCACTAGATGATGTCTTTGAACTTGTTTGATCAACCTCTTTCCAACTTTTTGGGGCTTTTTCTTGTGAATGAACTAAGGATGATGGGTAGAACCTTGATACCTTGGAAACTTGTAGATTTTACTGAATATAGCAAGTTCTTGATGTTGTGGATTTGCCTTACTACATCCAAACACCCCTTTGAGGGTTTTGGTGAAATTCCCTTTGGTTACTAACTACATCTTTGCATCTTTCCTCCAACCAAAGGAACGGATTTACCAACAAAAGCACATCGTAATCTATCGATCTTTACGTCTTCTTTATCTATTCTTTCATCAGCTGTGCCCGAGGCAGCCTCAAGCGGCAAACGTTGTACAAGAAAGCTGGACACTTTCAGGTCGTTTTTAGATTTTAGACACATACATTTGGCTCCTCTCCAAAACTTTGTCAAGGGTTTTTTTTAAACACTGATGGAGTGGTTTTTGTTATTCAAACAGGTTCCCTACCTAGAAGATCCAAACACTGGTGTCCAAATGTTTGAGAGTGCAGACATCATAGAGTATCTCAAAGCAACTTATGCTTCTGCCTAAATCTCATCCTCAGGATAGGCGGATATACATACAACCATGTGTGTGTAGAGTTACAGTGTTGTTGAATATAGATATGTACCTGGCACTCTGAGCCAACTTACATTTATAGATGTCAAAATAGGTCAACCAACAATAATAATAAAAATAAATGGGTTGTTATAAATAAATGGTGGAGTTCACGGTTATTGTTCAACCGTCAAGTACTATTCAGCCTTCGAGGTATTATTCAGTTGAGTACTGTTCACAAATACATATAGATGAACAATAACTTTGATTTTCTTTAAATGGGTCATTTCATTCTTTCATTTATACACAATTCAAAGAAAGAAAAATTAGTGAAATCTTGTTTTCAAATCTCTCAAACGATCGATTTCGATTTCTAATTAACGATCTAATTCTCGAATCTTCTATATTTTTTCGTTTTTCACAACATGAGTTAGTTTATTGGTTTATTTTTGTTAGATGTTAAAATAGATTTCAGCCCATTTGGATTATGGTTTTAGTGGGTTGATCCATTTAATTTAGTGCATTAAACTCATTACATATTTTAAAACTTAGATCGTTATATATATACACATATATAGATATACATATATGTAGTACACGTATATATATATACACATATATACATGCATATATATATATATACATGCATACATAGACACATGGGCGGATCTAGGTTAGGAGGGGTGGGGGCACAGGCCCCCATTCTAATTAAAAAAACAAGTAATTATTAGGTAAATTTTGTAAGATTATGAAAAAAATTTACCCTATGCCCCCATAAAAATAGCATTTGATTCTATAAAATAATATATATAAAATTAATGCCCCCATTTATATTTTTTTCTAAATCCGCCGCTGCATAGACATATATATATATTTATATATATATATATATGTTTAGATGTGTGTATATGTACATAAATATATGTGTGTATATATGCATACATCTATATATACACACATTATATGTGTTTATATGCATGTGTAGTGGCAGATCCACTTTATATGGTGTGGGGGCACAGATCCCTTAATCAATTAAAAAAATTATCAATTTTATTTGTAAATTTATAAAATTATAGAAAAAAAAATGTTAAATGCCCCATTAAAATAAAAATTGTTTAGGTAAAATCATCTTATATATAAAAGTACAGCCAGTTAAAGAGGATTTGACACGTGTCCAATTTGTTTTAAATCTACCTGCATTTTTCTTATCCTTTACGAAATGCTTTTTATCGAAAATCATTGCAGTCTTTTTTACATAATACATTAAACAATTCTATATTTCATTTTTTTACCATATTAATAAAACTATGCGATATACTTTTGAAACCGTTTTTTTATTAAATGTGTCGATTTATATATATATATATATATAAATCATAATACAATATTTACCAAAACATCAAATATGTCATTGTGTTTGGTTATAATTATTGAAATAATAGTAAACTAATATATCTGTTTTTCTTTAATTAAATATATCAATTCTTTTTTTTGAAAAATATGAAGTTAATTTGGTAAAACATGGAATATGTAGTTAGATAGAATATAGTTAACCGGGGAAGTCATATATAATGTGATATGATTATATTAGAAATTATGACAGAAAATGGATTGAAAAAACAAGATTTTTCTAAGATTTGCAAATAAATATGTAAATTCCAATATTCAAATGTATTTATTTTAGTATAATTCCATATTCAACGTAGTCAATGTTCATATTCTTTCTAAATCATCATCATCATCATCATATATATAAAATTAAAGTACACGTGTCTTCAATAGTAATAAATTAAAAGTAGAAATATATGTATTCAATCATTCCATTAATAGACATAACTTGGTCAAAATATTTTTTATAATTTCGGTAAACATTTATTGTAATTCTCTCTCATTCATCAAAATTAGTCTACATACATTTAATCAATTATTCTCCTAATTTTTCTAATTACACACATTCCAACCATTCTATTTCCAATGTTCAATGTCTTTGAAATATATTTGTTTTGGTATCATTTATGTTCAGAACTTTCATATTCTCTCAATATAAATAATCATCAAGTCGAGCTCATATCTCAACTATCCAAGTCTAGCTTTTTTTATGTTCCGTCATTTTTTTTTCTTCATAAGGTTAGTCTCTTAAACCTTTCTTCATATTAAAGTGATTGTCGATTATTTTAAAAGACATGCCAAATATATATATATATATATATATATATATATATATATATATGTATGCGTGTAGTTTTGAGAAATTTAGATTTTATTATTATACCCGTAATTTTGTTTACTTTGAGATACTCGGTACAAAATCTGATTTTGCATAGGGTTTACGAATGTTATTATTAAACCTTTCTGCATAGGGTTTACGAATGTAGTGATACGACTCGAATATTCTCAGGCGAGTAGCGATTGGTAAAAATAATTTGTTATCTATCTCATAATCATAACCATTGTTAGCAGATGAAGTTCAATGTTTTTTGGAAATCTCTACATGTCGATACAGAAGGTAAAGTTATGTTTTGATTTTATAAAGTGTTATATTTTTAATATTCTGCAAACTATATGGTTACGTAGTCAAAGAAGGAAAAAACATTGGTGATAATAAAGAGAATGAATGAAGAGAGGAGAAGGATGAATAAAACCATAGGTTTCCGAAGATGCCGAGGTGAAGACATTAATGCATTGTGTCTTTAGAGTATCCCGGAGATGACACTCTCTATTTTTTCTTTTTTCTCTTTGTTTAATTATTTAATTCTCATACACTCTCTTTTTCTTTTTTCTTTCTAGGCGTGATACAATGAATTGTCGAATTATTCTAAAAATATACTTTGGTTGTGATTCAAAAATTAGAAAAAATATATGAGTTTTAGTTTGGATTTACATATAGTATATAACTAAAATTATAATATATATTTTGGATGTCTTTGATCTTTCATATGATTTAATATATAACGTATAAAATATTTTGGTAGTTTATTTTTTATGTGAATTGTGTTTTGAAAATCATAGTGGTATTTTTACTATATCACTATATGTGTCTTTGCAGTTGAAGAATATTAATAAGTTAATTAATTAATTTTGCATTCATCAAACCTAATACAAATGAAATATCATATATGAATTCGTTAATCTTTAATCTTTAATTTATAAATTAAAGAGAAATAATAAATGAGCTGAGAAATTAGATTTTACGAATGTTATCATTGGAACATTAATCTTTAATTTATAATCATTAAGTGGTCCCTTTTCAATTTGTAGTAAATACTAACACAAATTAGAATAATGAAATTGGACATTTATAAATTATAACAAGTAAGCACTTATTAAACAGATAAACCCATCCGATTTTATTTGATTGGGATTTCAATGAACCGGGTAGACTTTTTTTTTTAATCTCATTAGATAGATAAATCAAGTTTAAAAATATAAATTCCGACATGACAAAAACAGAAGAAAATGGTCTGTGAACACTTGGAAAGAAATGTAAAGAAGAATAAAAAAGAATCGAATTTGTATCGCTACGCATTAGGTTAAGAGGCTGTGGAGACAACTGTAGAAGTATTTCTATCGCCGTTGATATAGGATCCTTTTTGGAGAAATTGTTTTTTTTTTTCCTCCGATGAATCCAAGATGACTTTCTTTCTCACTCAGGTGAATGAGTCAATATACCTGACAGATTCGTTATATATATATATATATATATATATATATATATATTAGATTTCAAGAATTAGTGATTTAAAATTCAACTATAAAACTAAGTTTATAAAAAAATATTATATTATATATAAGTGCGAAAGAAAATGTATACCTAAACAATTTTAAAAATATACTTAATACTCTTATTATTTAGATAGTAATTTTAAGGATTTGATTTTATAAAAAAAATAGATTTCCAAATAAGAAAACTCGATCCTGATTTTAAAGAATTTCCAGTCACGAAAAGTCGATCCCGATTTTTAGAAGAATAAAAAAGATAAATTGTGTAAAGATATTCTAGATATCCGTGAGATTTTGTTTTGAAACAAAGATTTATCGATCGGGTTTTAAAATACATACTCTAAATAAAATATCAAACGGATTAAATCATATGAGACGATAATAGAACTGATTCTATGAAGAACTAAGCCAACTTTTGCATCATAGAATAATAGATGTTGTGACGAGTCGGAAAAAATTAGATAAAACAAATTGACATGATAAGAAACAAATTTAATAAAATAGATATCAAATTAAATAAAAATATCTAACTATCACAAAATCTTAATTTTTTACATTTTAGAATAAACGTGGCTAAATCTTAGATTATAATAAATATAATTTCTTACACGATAATGAAACAAATAAAAGATTCACATGATTAGTGTTGTATCTCATGAACTATTTTAATTAAATAAATATTTATAAAATTTAAATATTCATAACATTATATAAATTTAATATTATACCAATATTTGTATAATGTTTATTAAAATTAATAGATTATTATTATTATTATATTTCTAACATAAACTAAAATCTACATTTTAAAAAAATAACGTTTTAATTTAATTATGTTATAAATTTAAAAACAAAATATTTTATATTTAATTTTAAAGCTAATAAAATTATTTAAAATCTTTGTTTATTTTTAATTCGTGTGATATATACGGGTGAATACAGTGGTTTTATAATGTAGAAGTTGTGTCAAATCTTTTTCGAAAAAAATACATCATCCCATTATCTTAACACTTTAAAAAAACTTATTTTAATTTAACAATATAAAAATGTTTTAGTTCAATTTTTTTAAAATATTTCTTTCTAAGAATCCTATTTCAACCCTTAATTTTATATTATAATATACGAAAATATAAACATAAATGTTATTCTCAATCATTTTTTTGAAAAAAAAATACCATTACCTCAATATTTTTATAAACTATTTATCATTTTTATTTAAGATATAAAATATAATCTATTAAAATTTAAAATTCTTTTTTTTTACAAATAATGTGTATTTGTAGTCCGCGCGATGCGCGCAGGTTTAAAACCTAGTATATATAAAATTATTGCCCTTTTTCATCACTTTCTCTAGGTACACCACTCTGCATGTGTATATGTATGTGTTTGTAATCCAAACTAGACAGGACACAACTCAAACCGGTAGATTTGAAGGGTTAGAAGCTCATATCATGGTATGATGTTACAAGAGGGATGAAGGATTTCAAAGCTTTAGGCTTTATGGTCAATGTGAAGTGAAAATGAATGTTTAGTGTTGGGGTTCTTGATGAGTTGGATTGTAAAATACGAATATCTTCATCAATGTGAAAAATAAAATGATTCGTGTTGGATTTTAAGAAGAGATAACTACCATTATACCGATTTTTCTGCACCCATTTTGAGGTACATAGAATTTTGAAGTTGCGGTTTAATAACCGAAATTTGTATAAAAACATTTTTGCTAATCATATATAATATTCACATTTTACCAAAACGAAACGTGAAAACTTTTAAATAAGGCACGAATATATTGTACTAGGTTTGTACGTTGTGGTCCATTTTGGATTTTTTTTAATGATTTTGTAATCTATGTATTTTGTTATATAGTTTTAGTTGAAATTGACATGATGAATTCCTCACATGTGGACAAGATATGGAGGTGGAAAAAAGGTCCCATAATTTTTACTCTTCACAACGAAGGGTTTTCAACGTTAAAAAAAATCGGTGTCTCGTTTGATTTCACTGTCATTGTAATAGGTATTGTCATGCTAACATAGGGTTCGACTGGTTGTACCGCAGCGGTTGCGGTTGCGGGTGGCAGCGTTTTCAAAACGTTTGATAGCGATTATAAATGATTAGTACTGACTGGTTGAGAAGTTGTTGTTAGTAGCGATTGCGGGTGGGTGCAGTTAGAAGTGAATGGTTCATTACGGTTGCGGTTGCGTTTTGATATAAATTGTCAAAAAAAATATTATTTTTATAATAGTTTTAATTAAATTTTTCGTATCATTTTATTTACTAAATTTATAATAATTAAATAATAAATTTAAAATAAAAATATTATCAATTTAATTTATTTTCAAGTAAAAAAATAATTTTATTATAAAAATTATTAAAAATAATCATTATTAAACCTAAAAATTATACTATTGTATTTTTTTTATTAAAATATAATACTAAAAAATAATATCAAATCATAACACTAAACAAAATCATCACCAATATATATATTAATGTTTTATATAATTTCTAATAAAAATATTTTAGTTTTTTTGTCAAAACGCCGAAAACCGCTACCAAAACGCAAGTTGGAAGCTGCGATTAGAAAACACAAGTTTGGTTACAGTTGCGGTTGGTTGCGGTTCAACCAGTCAGTTTTTCAATCGCCCGCAACCGCCAGAAATCGCAACCACTCCGTTTGCGGGTGGCGGCGGTGCAACCAGTCGGCCCCATAATATAATTAACAAACCGCATCTCAAAGACATGATATTTTTAATTGTTCATGTGTTTTCTTTTGATTCGGCAATGTGTTGGATTTGACCTATGCATTCACCAAAACCTCTTTCTGATAAAATAAAATCGAAATCTAATCCATTCGAAAGAAAAGGCTACAAAAATGGATCTCTCCACATAGTCAGCAATGCAATTCCTAAGGTTTTCTTTATAAATATTTTATCAATAAAAATCAAAATCAAATCAAACCAAATTTAATATGTAAAAAACGAATAGTTATAATTTTTCTGAAAATAAAATATCCAAACTTGGAGAGCCGAAATCTGAATAAACGCACAATCGAGGTTTGTTTTTTGGGTGAAAGTAACATAGTTAATGGTTTCTTTTTGTTTGTCCCTAGATTTTTCTAAATCATAAATATCTTTTTACCATATGTAACGGTATATTATTTATTGTTTCATTTTTTCTGAGTTGAAGATATTTCTCATTTAATATTAGATAGTTATAGCAAACTATGTGAATTAATAACATTCAATCAACAATAAGACTAATTATTCCAAAAAATAAATTAGATTGTCATTTCACCTAAAAACACTGATAACTACCTACACCCTAATGGTTAATGTCCCTAACGTTTTTACCGTTTTGTCCTAAACGGCAAAGCAATCTCTTGACACCGTACGATTCCGGCAGCTCCGCCGTAGCAAAGCCATCTCTCGCTGCCTTTGTTAGTATTCCACCGTACCCGATGCATCGCTACCATCCTTGGCGGAAACCCTTCTGCTTCGTTCTCCCGTCGTTTTTCTTCTTTCCCAACTTCGTTTTCTCGAGCTTCATCCACGCAGACGAGTGCTTGCTTGTTGTTTTCGTCTTCATCTTTCGCTGTGTTTTTGTGTTTCGAAGCTTTGCTGTTTCGGTGCGAGGAAGTTGATGGCGTACCCTCGGGATCGGTCTCTGAATTTGGATCCTCGGGGAATTCAAGAGCTGTAAAAACATAAAGAATACATCAGCGCGATGGAGATAACAATGATCGGAGATTACAAAAATCATAATGGGCACGAGAACCTGAAATTTCGAGTTCTCGTAATGGTATAGAACTCGCAGAAGTTAAATCTTTATCAAAGAGTTAAATGTCAAGGGATCGTTTTCGCTTACCTAATGGCTGAATGTCTTGCAATGAAGAGGAAGCTCTTTTACTTGACTCGCTCAAGAGGCTTCTGAGGCATTTCGGGTTTTCACCTGATTCCTTAACTGTTTTCTTTAAGGTTACGGGCTTGTCGGGCAGCGGAGTATGGACCGTAAAGACCGAATTTTCCATAGTCGAGAATCCACAGAGAAAGTGTGGGGCCCGATGTCTTGAGTCTTTTTCCACTGCTTTGCCAGTAAGCTGTTTTCCGACAAGAAACAGCAAAGTCATACGAGGAGAAGAAGCTAAGGGCAAAGACTTTTAATAAATGACTTCACTAGAAATCGAAAAGAAAACGAGTTCATGGCTCTCTAAATACAGACCTGGAAATGAAGAACAGCTCCATCTGCACTGCAATACGCTGCTATGCCTATAATCGTACGGAACTTGAGACAGTAAGCAGATGAAACTTATCCTTGAAAAATATTCGACATAAAAAGATGGACACTTGTTGAATTATTCTCATTTTCATGTTAAAGCCGTATTTCCAAGTTTCAATTATGTTATTTCTTTTTCTTTTTTACGAGTGATGTAACTCTACATAAGGAATATCCCTCTTATATAGTAAAATCGTCATAGAGTTGATCAAACAAAGGGAGGTAGAACACACTTGGAACTGTGCTCAGATCCCCACATTCCATAAATGCGAGAAAACTATACCGTTAGAAATAGGGGTGGCCAATTTGGTTAATAACCGAATAGAATCCAATATAAAAATTGAATGTTATGAATATTCTTAAACCAAAACACCGAACCCGAACCAAATCGAACGCAATAAAAAAATAACCGAAAACTAAAACTTTTTTTTGGAAACGAGTTTTTATCAACTCGATTAGAACCGGACAAAACCTAACATAGTTCAGTATAAAACCTGAATGGTTATAGTTTCTTTAAAACCGAAATAACCGAACCTGAATATAATCGAGTCAGAACTCGAAATGACCACCCCTAGATAGAAACCATCAGGGTGCTGCAAGTTACGAGTCATGAAGGAACTAACGTACCTGTGAGTGGTGATACTTGAACGTTCCAAATAGGAGACGACGAACAGTTATAAACGCTGAGCCCTTGTTGTTTCGTACCCGGAAAAGGTTTTCCCGTCGCTGCAACATCATATGCAGCTTTCACCAAGCTGATGATTCTTATCGTTCCATCGTCAAAAGATAATAAGACGCACCTGAAGTTAATGAAAAACCAGTTTTAGTGGTTACTGTGAAGACATGAAAATCATCTATAAAGTAGGAAGGTAGATTCGGTACCTCGGGTCCGATACCCAATTGAGACTATAAATAAACCTGGGTACCGGGTGCAAATCCCATAAAGGTCGGAATGGATCGCTGCAGAGAAAACCGCAAGTTTACTAGTTTAGTAAGCACATCGAGTAAACTTAAGAAAGCCTACTTAGTTTTAGGATGGACATTCGATTCTGTTAAGGACAAATCAAACCAATCCGAACTGAATAATATGTAATCGTAACCTAACAAAATCCGACATACAAACCAAATGGTTATCACCGAAAAACAGAACACGGGCCAAATAAAAAAAAACCCGGAAAACCGTATCTTTCTTTGGAATAAGAGCATTTTTATCGTTAAAAACCAAATCCAAAAAAAAAAATGGAACTGAATCTAATATAAAAACCGAATGGATATAGATTTTCTAAAACCAAAAAAAAAAGAAAATGAATGCGAATATAACTGTACCGAAAACCGAAGTGCCCATCCCTACTTTGCATCATGGTCGAAATGAACCAGAAAGAGACATATGACACTAAACAGTACGGCACAGATTTTTACCGTATGTCCCAAAACTTCACACCTCCATGACCAGCGGTAACTATCACGTTTGAACTCTCCTCGTCACTGAAAAGTCTCCAAGAAATGTGTCAACAGTTTCAATTCAACCTACTTTTTCGGTCACTTCATTGCATTATATGAAATGAAACAGAGGCCAATAGCGAGACATATATTGCATTGGAAGCCATAAGAATTGGAGCCATCCAAACTAATCTCTGGATTGTTTTTACCCCTTAATTACATAATATGGTACTTAGCTTCAAGTAGAATCGAAGAGAAAAACAACCCTCTCCAAATTTCATGTTAAGTAATTACAGCACTGACCTTTCAGCAGGAGCCCATGAAACGGACCTAATAGGAGAAGTATCCGCACTGAAGAAAAGCAGTGGTCTTGTTTCTGCAACGAAAACGCTTTAAAAAGTCAACAATTGACATAATTGATGAATCATTCTCAGCTTGAGAGTCTCAAGCCACCATTCCCAAAGGACAAAACAAATTGACCAACACCAGCTGACACCTTCTGAAGATTTAGTTGTAGAGAACTTCCAGATAGCAACCTGAAAGGAATTTATAGAAAAAAAAATGTTTTATTAATCAGTAGAAGTATTTCAGTTTACTGGAAGAGGAAGACCCAGATTCAATGCAATTAAGGAGTAAAATGACATTTTACATAAAACAAAAAACAGAAGAGGTCTTTACACCATTGGCAGTAATAAAAATATTCATATACAGCGATCAAAGAGTTAATAACAAGACCAGTACCGATCCATCATGGCATCCAGCCAGTAACAAATTAGAGTTCCCTGAAGTTGACCACTCAACCGTCAACGGAATGCTGTACAATAATAAGAGAACATCAATCAGCATATTCCCAACCACAGAAAACAATTGACGACATGAAGAACAGCAACTAAGTGTGCTATACCATCAAATTGGAAAAGGGTTTAAAAAGAAACTCTTTTTCACGTACGCTACAATAAAAAAGAAAATATACCAAAATATGGAAACATGTGAATCATTGCGTAGGAACTGTATTTTCATAGTGAATTCTATTTCCTGAGTAGTTGCAACACACTGCCCTGTAATAGTACATGTTCCTTTACAACAAGAATAGAAATATTATGGAGGAGAACAAATACTACAAACCTCTGTGTGTCACCACACTTCAACTTTGAACATCGGAAAACAGGAGACAGTTTCACAAAACGAGGATCAGTCTCAGGTTTGCTTGAAGATAAATATATAGTTGTCATTGCCTGAGGCATTGGAACCTCCCACCTACATCAAAGCATCATCACTATGCGTAGCATACATAGAATAAAGAAATTAAATTAATGCATACTACAGTATGGTTAGCGTGCATCATGTTCAAATACTCATGAAATGAAATATCTTACTCTGTTCAAAAACAGAGAAACAGCATTCAAGAAGCATCTGATTCTCATGAAGGAAAATACCAGCAAAAAGGACAATAATTAAGTAGACATAGAAAGCATAGAATAAAAATTGGAGAGAGAACCAAACTAGCTAGCTTACACTTCCAGAGCTCCATTCCCAAGCAAGACAGCCAAATAACCCATTATGTGCTTATTTTGAGAATCATACGCACTCAAGGGCCGCCATTTCATATCCCAGGCAACTTTCCCATTGTGAGCCAGGCATAAGACAACCCTCGGAAGAAAGAGCAGTGTCCTTGGAGATGTCCAAGGAATTTCTGTCTTGCACACTGCCAACAACCATAAGTTCCTCCTCAGTGGTATGATGAATTGCTTCTTCACTAATATCTGACTGCACGGGTCTGAAACCTTCCTCGGTAACAGCGGTTTTAGATCTCTTTCTTCTTACAGGAAGCTTGGTATTTGAATTTCCTGAAGACGCTACATTTCTAGAATCTTCACTTTCAACTTTATTTTTCGGTACTGAAATTTCTTGTGCACACTTCAAAGGAGGCTCTATAGCAAGGGGGGTAACTGACAGTCCAGGATATTGAACAGCGAGAGCTTGAATATGTTGGTCATCACCATGGGGCGTACAAATAATGTCACCGATAGCCTGCTTTCGAGGCCTTCCTCTCCGTTTCCTAGGCTCTGGTGTCTCCACTGGGTGTTTTCTGGGTCTGCCTCTTGGCCTTTTAGCTTTTACTGTTTCAACAGATTCATCTAGTGATTCTTTTCTAGGTCTTCCTCTTGGCTTTCCCGCTGTTGATTTGCCAGGTTTGGATTTTCCCTTCTGATTCTGCTCGGGAATAGAGACTATATCTTTCTCACAGCTCAGATTTAGAATGCACCATATCTGAATGATGCCCCTTCCTGTAAGTTGAGCACCTATCTTGTGAGTATAAGATTCAGGTGGATGAGCAGCAACAGCTAGAAACTGCACCAGACACAATGGATAACAATGAGACCCTAGCATATCCATTTCTCGACAGAAGAAAGAAAGTATAAAATATGACATAATCACCTCACATTTTGCTCGAGCATCTGGATTTCTGTGAGCTCTAGGACACCAGTCCAATGCCCATAAAGAACCTCCGACATACATCACGAAGTCCTTGCTGCATACATGTGAATAACCTGTAATCAGTGTTAAGGACAGATCCTAAAGTGAAAGAGACAAGGACAGGAGCATAAATATGTGCATACATCTGCAATGCTATAGGCTGTATAATACAAACTAAACCTTATAGCATGCTTCAACCACCCACACTATATGCTTGTTAATTGTCACAAGTTCGAGCAGCAGAAATACATAATCCTTGAGTTCCTTTCATCAGAATCTAGAAGCCTATCTAAACCACTTGTTGTACAGATTAATTGTATGCCTACTCTACCTCCTAGTGATATAGGGTTTTCGTCAAACAGCTTAAAATGATGAAAGCTCAAATCAAGTTTTAATCATTAGTCATTACCTGGATTCACAACTTGGTGACTCACCATGTATGTTCCCCTGCATCCACATGAAATTCAATTAGCAAAAGGGCATTGTATTCTAATCAATTGAAAGGAAGAAACTACACTGAAGGTACAAGTTCAAGTAAAAAAATAAATTTTTAGCTGCAAAGACATGAATGAAAGACCTTCTGAACAGTGGCTGATGAAAACTGAGGTAAGCTGATATCCTTTGGTTCAGGGATGTCCTTTCCGCCATAGAATCTAATAGTTCTTGGTTCATAATTAAAATACCTCCATTCCCTAATAAATGGTAAGTAGACGAGATAAAATATATGAGAATAACATCAGCAATAAGAATACCTGCATTAACAATTTGAGGAGGCTGTCTGACATAACTTAACAATCATAATAAAAAATCTGCTTTTTTTTGTAATGTTTACGTCGAATTTGAAAGGAAAAAGTAGAAGTCAAGAAGGAAGCTTTCTGTGTTTGTTACATCTCATAGGTTAGAACCCACAAATTGAACAGAATCTTAAGCCTTTTCAGAATAAGATTCTTTGCAAGCAAACTGGCTGCTGCATATACAAAGCAAAACCATGACAAAAGAATTTCATGCATACAAATAATTTTTCCCTTACACACCTCAAGAACGTGATTGATGATGACAGTCGATTGATCTCATTTTCATCGAAATCCGTACCCGTTTCATCACATAGATCAGCAATCCAGTTTATTTCCTTCAAATGGTTCTCATATGAATAATCAAACAATGACACAGAACTTCCCTCTTGGCCACTTCTTGAAGGTTCTTCGTCATCCATCCTCCTGGAAATGAAGCAGAAAATTATACTCCAATCAGAGAACAGAGAATTGCTATCATTTAAAACTCTTTTTTATCCATTCCACACACATCGCAATACATACTTTACAATGGTTCCTTGGTCATTATGATTGACGTAAAACCCATTCGTTTCACTCAGCACTCACTCAAGAAATTCGCAATTAATTCATGTACAAATGAGAGAATTGACTCAATTCAGCGCATAAAATTTCCGTGAATCTCGTGCAAAAAAAATCACCAAATCCTACATATTAAGAAACAAAACCAAACACACCCGCAGCAGATAACCAAATCAGACTTCATCAATGACGAACCAAGTCTAGACCAGAAACAAAAGCTAAACATGCTGTAGAGAACCTACACGCATTATGTAAAATAAATAAAAAAGAAAGAAAGAAAAGAAACCAATAGATAAATCCACATGCCACGTTTAACATAACCTGAAAGATCTAACAAAAGCAATTTCCTTTTGAAGTTAAAAACATGAAACTTATAAGGCTTCGGAGATCAACTCCTGTACTGATTCGGCTATGGATATTTCCCCCCACAACTGCAAGGTCTTTCAATAACGTTTAGTCACTGAATGACAGTCAAATCTCAAAGTTAGGACAAGAACAACAAAGCCATATCAAACCCAAACCCATTACGATAGTCATCAGTCAGCCAAAATAGGAGGGAAGAATAAGAACTTTCACAGCACTTTCCAGCTACAGCAGATGATAATCCATACTCCACACTCCCTAGCCCAATGGAAAAAATAAAATCGGCAAAAGAAGAGTGAAAGAGAAATACAGGATAGAAGAAAACCAAGTAATCACGCTCAGAGTATAAAACAAGTTGCTAATTTTGTGGCATTACCATTAAATTGTTGAAGATTCAAGCTCAGAGTAACACAGGACAGAAGAAAACCAAGTAAAAATTCACGAACTACCTTGAACAATGTGATATCCTTCGGAAGAGAACTAGAAGGGTCGCGTCGTATGGACAAGCCTCAATGGCTCAGAATACAAACAAGTGGGTAAATATGCAAGACTACTATTCTGAGAACAGCCGTCGACGAACAGAAGAACGGTTGAAAATCTAACTCAAATTACAATGCGTGAGAGAGAGAGAGAGATGACTGTGTTACAAGAAAAATCTCACTCAAATCTTAAAAACTCAACTGGGACGAGTAACTCATGAGTAACTGGGTACCTAATTCAAATCCCAAAATCTAATTCTGAAAAATTCGAATCCTAAAAACCCTGAATACCCAATTGAGATAAAATCTATAAGAGAGAAACAGGAAAAGAGAGAGGGGGAAAGGAAGTTTTTTTCCATACCTTACTCAGCAGCACGAAGGAGAAATCGGAAGTTTCAGAGAAAGCAGAATCCAAGAAAAACAGCAGTCCGATCCCGATACCGAAGAAAGTGATGATGAATGACCAGAATACAACCCACGATTTCTTCGAATCAGCGGAGAAATCAAATCATGCAGACTTCGCTTCTCCGATGAGCCACTGCCGCTGCAACACGCACACGGAGAGCAAGATACGAAACGAGAGATCGAACACGCGGAATCAGCAGCTTGGATCAGCCACAGAGAGGGAGAGAGGAGAGAGACGCCTTTTTTTGTGGGGGGTCGCCGCCGATGGCGATATTTAAAATGTTTAATGTTTCCTATTTTGTAAATCCCTCGAGATTGGGTCTTAATGGGCCAAACTATATATCGGTGCCCTAAGTCATCAATCATCCCACAAAACCCACTTTTCACTCGAATAATTTAATTACTCGGGGTACACTTTTTAAAATAATTTTATTTATAAAAATCTAGTAAGTATTAATGTTTCCGTTAAAACGTGTTTAAAATTTAAAGAAAAAACTTATGGTGGACTTACACTGTAGTAATTGTAAAATTCCAAAAGTGATAAGAAGAAAATATTGATAAGAAATATAAATTAAAAATTTGTACAGAAAAGTATTTCAATTATTTTATATGTAAAATTGTACTTTTTTTATAAATAAACGAAGTTAATTTTAATTTGTATTATATTTTTCTAATTAATATTTTTTAATTTTTTGTATTTTCGAAAATTCGTATATGGCCGATTGTTAACATTGTCATATGTCATAATTAAACTGATTTAACGATTGGGAATTCAAAATTTGTTAACTATCCAAATTCGAATTCGAATATCTCTAATATTACGAGACTCTACGCAATCTTAAACTTATTTGATCGAATACCCGACGTTTGAAGAAAGGCCAACTGAATCTACGGTGGATACAAAATTTCGGAGTTTCAAATACGATTCTAAAATACTAATATGAGACATAATCCAATATCATAATTCTGAAACCAAATATTATGAAACAAAATATAAACTTTCAAATTCACAGTTGGTCGTAGGTAGTTGAGAGAAGGACGGATGTAATTGGACCGAATGTTCAATATGAATACAAAAGAATAGGAAAAAATATCTGAAAATTCTTGTGTGACACCCGAAACCCGTGTTCCGCGAAAATCACGAGTTGCACCACATGGATAATAATAAAATAAATACAATTATCGAAAATACGGGGGATTTAAAAATTCTCAGTTTATATAATTATGCAGCAGAAACAAATACAAATGAGGTAGTGTAAATATCGAGAAATACAAAACTCGTAAAATGACACTACCAATCTTTTGAAAACAGGAGTCTGCGAAGCCTAAATCTTCTTGATCTTCATCTTCACACCCTTGGTGCCGCCGTGTCAGTCAAACGCCTCTCTTCTCACTGTCTCGAGCTGAAACGTTGCATAACAACGTCCTAAGCTATATGCTTAGTGTGTATTTCGTGTTAAACCCGAAGATCATACTCAAATTGCAAATGACCAAGCACAAACAATATTATACACATACTATATATGTATACACAACATATCATATAATGAATCCTAATTTCACCAACAATAACTCATGTAACAATCACAAACAGTCCGGATGACAAGTCATCGGACAACAACCGTCAAATCGTCTCTATGTGCATCACAGACATAGGATAGCATACGGATCTGATATCACCAGTCCAAGACATATACAAGTCATAGCTCGACTCATCGGGTCTATCAGTAACATTGGTACCGTCAAATCATCTCTACAGGTGCATCACACGCGTAGGTAAGGATCCCCATGTGCAACGTACAATCCCCTCTCTCTCCTCGGCCGAAACCGGAATAGTAAAAACACAACAATCCAGACCCAACACTTCATAAAAACATATCCCACCAACCATCCTCTCTGATATCGATGTCACCTCTCGATACCAGAGCACCAGGTGCCTCTTCCAGGCCACCACCGACTATATCGAGCGAAGTCAGTAATCAACTGACAACCTCTCACCGGCCATCCACCACGGAAAAGATCATCAGACACGAGCTCACGTCTTTCAGAGTGTTTCCGCATAACCTCATCGGGAGAATCTCTCAATCCCGAGTCACGAGTAAATATGTGCCAGTCTCTGGCAGAAATCACTCCCAAACCCGTTTCATAGCAAGTGGAATGTCGGCACGGTCACAGAGTAACTGCAAGATTTTCTCAACCCGTGATAGTCGAATCACTCAAGACTACCATATGCATCATCGGCTCCAAACTCTGCCCGTAGGCGATCAATCACAATCATGTCTCCTAAATATGAAACCCGACCCGGGTCGAAGATCATAAAGAGGAGATCTCAAACCACGCAATCATCGGGATATCACCTCAAACCCTGGCTACAAACACACGCTCGACTTTACCCCGATCCTCCGAAGTAATGTCTCACGCCATGCTAGCTACCTGGATCCCCAATCACAAGCATTCATACAAGAATCTCATTTTAATCATGCATACACATGTCTTTACTTATGGTTTTGGTATTCATTTTCATTTATATTTATTTTATTCTTTTATTCTTCGGTTCGATCAAATTGGATTCCCGCCATTCCGGAATATCAATTCAACTCGTTCCGAGGGTTTTACTTACCGTGAAAGGGATTCGTTCAAGTTTCGTAAGGTTCAGATAGGAAACAAGGTAAGGTCAATCGGGTATGGGGGTCGGTTGCATCGGATCTCGTTCGATCCGATGATACGAGACAAAACGGGGTGACAGAGACCTGGACCGGACGTCTGCACGTCCTGGACCAAACGGTCTGTACGTCCTGGACCGGACAGTCCACGTGGTCTGGTCCCGACGGTCTAGAAAACATGGACCGGACGGTCTGAGGGTTCCAGAACGGATGGTCCACACCCAGACCGGACAATCTGGACTTGTCTTCTTCCTCGCGACCCTGCAACGGACGGTCCTAGCCTGGATCGTTCGGTCTAGACGAACCAGGAACTTCGGGTTCTGATTTTTCGCACCAAACTCAACCATCTATAGTTCAAAACAATCTAGGGAACATCAGGAACTCAAATCTAAGCTCAAACATGCACGAAACGCACTCAAAACACACAAATCTCCATTTTCAATTTGATTATCATTTTTGAATTTAATTCGAAACACTCACCTGGGTCGTTTCTAAGCTCTGGGGTTTGTTGCTAAGGTTTCCTAGAGTCGATTCCTTGATTTTCCAGCCATTCTCCACGCAAATCGAGCTCCAATTCGGGGGTTTTCGGTCTGAACTCACAAGAACACAAGGGAGAGGGTGAGAGCGAGTTCTTGAGCGAGTGAGACAGAATGGGGGAGAGAGAGAAGCTCGTGTAGAAGAAGGTAGCCGCCCCTGGGTCAAGCAGGAGGTGTCACTTGCCGGTGAATCGAAGGAATTGCGGTGGTGACTCACCAGAACATAGGCGGCGCATGAAATCTGGGCCATCCTCGTCAGACCCGACGGTCTAACAACGCAGACCGGACGGTCTGCCTTACCCAGACCGGACGGTCTGACCTATTTTCGTCACTTTTCCTCGCTTGGTCCGGTCTAACATTTGAATTGGCTCAGCTAGGCTCGATTCTATGTTCTCGAGCCGTTTTTCGACACATAAACGGTCTTCTATGGTTTCGTGCGGAGAAGATAAACTCATAGGGCATTATATTCTGTCGGTCTAGCCGATATGCTTCTCCTTTCCTCTTCTTCGTTCGGCTCGGTTGTTTCATGCTAGACTGATTCATCTGAGCGACTTCATGTCATGGTCTATTCCTCGTTTGGTCCTATTAGCGAAATTTAAGGGCTTAACGCTCAATCATCTCATTTCTATTGATCAAGCGTAATTAATTTCGGTTTATATTTCTTTAATCCTTTTACCGAAATTTGGGGTGTTACATCCTGAACTTGTAATTTGGTGCAATATTAATTAATGAATTTGTAGGTGTGCTTATTTATTCCTGAACTTGCATTTTTTGATACAGAAATTCCTAAACTTATTTAACGGTTCTATAATCGTCCATACTATTAATTGTCCAAAGTAAAATTTAGGAACTATTGCGTTCAAAAATGCAAGTTTAGGAATTGTTGTGTTAAAAAATATCATTTAGGAATTAATGTGTTCAAAAATACAAGATTGAGAAATAAATAGGTGCACCTACAAATTAAGAAATTAATATATATCAAATTACAAATTAAAGAATTTGCAAGTATTTTTTCGAAAAAAATATAACAAAATACGTTCATATAAGAAAACCATATATTCATAAAGTGTAGCGTTCTCTCTAGGTGTTGTAAAAGCATTTGTGATTGCCTTTAGTCGATATATAGCCTTGCAATTAGATTGAAAGTGCGCATCATTAAAGTTTGTGTCTAAAGTTTATCCCAGCTAGTTCAGCCTCAACCCGATAAAAGCACGAAACAAATATGAACATCGTTCCTCAAAACTGGAATTCGCGAAAAACTACACACGAAGTCTACTAATTGAGATATGCAAAACACTAATCATGACAGCATCTAAAGAAAGCATATACGTAAAATGTAGTCGAAAAGAGCTACGCAAAATAGCGATAGTTCAATTTCGTCATAAACGTGATCAAAAGGGAGAGAAAACTCTACCAACTAGATTAAACTCAATCATCGAAGATGGAAAGGAAGGAGACATACCTCAGAAAATCAGGACTTACAGAAAGTTCTCGACGATGACTTGCTCTTCACCTTAGGGTTTCATATTGCTCAATCACAAGTAGGGGTGGGCGAACAGTTTTGTTCAGGTTAATCGGTTACAGTTAATTCAGATTTTTCTATTTTAAAATTTGAAAACTCAAAACCAAACGCTATTTAATTTTATTCCATTCGGATAGATTTGGTTCGATTTTATCTATTTACATGACTGCATTGTAGGCTCAAGAACAAAGGATGTTTATAAGAAAATAGGAGTCAATGGAAAAATCTGGATACAATAAAGTTGTTATAAAAAAACTCAAATGATCAATCTAGTTCCAATTCAAAACCCGAAGAAAAATAAAAGCTATATAGAATCTTACGAGCATTGTGATAAAAATAAAATGTCATTCACACTTCAAATATTGGAGGAGACCGGACATAAAGAATCGAAAATGTTACAAACTCGATAATTTTGAGAGAATTTGCAGAGAAATGAACAATCAGGGCATTGAAGCGCAGAAGGCTGAACCAAATGAAGCGGAGCAACTTGTGTGTATTGAGTGGAATGAGAATTATGTTATTCTTACTACACTCAATA